CCATAATCCCCATTCCCTGTCCCCCTGTGCCGCTTAGAGGGGGTGGAGGTTGAAGCCGGGAGTGAAGTTGAGCCCGGGAAGATGGGAGGGGTGGGGGGAGGTGTTTTAAGAGTTGATTTTATTTCTCATTCCTCTACTCTGTTTTGCTTAGTAATAAATTAGATGAATTCCCTCTCTAAGTTCGGTCTGTTTTGCTCGTGACGATAATTAGTGAATGATCTCTCCCTGTCCTTATCTCGACCCACAAGCTTTTCATTGTACTTTTTCTCCCCTGTCTAGAGAAGGAGGGGAGTGATAGAGCGGCTCTGGTGGGCACCTTGGGCCCCAGCCAGGGTCAACCCGCCACAACAGTATATATGTCTAACTTTAAAAATAGTGCACAAAATCATGGACTTGCTATAAGAGTCGTGCAAGTAAATTTTAAGTTTAATGCAAAATGAGTGGCAGATTTGGGATCACTGAAAAAAAATTTTTTAGTACTTCTGCAACTCAAATACTTCAATGAGCAACCTAAAAAAAAACAAAATTAAAACTCAACAACAAAAAGAACCCTACATAAGATAGAATTGCTACAATTTGTGTCCAAATTAAGAACTCTTAATACTTCCAAATCAAACCCTTAATTGGGAAATATCCGTGTATTCTTAGTACGGTAACTCACCCATGTCATAAATAAGATAAATCGTTTACATTCAGATTTGTCTGCAAAGTAAAAAATTCCTATAAGATACTTAATGGTCAAATTTTCTTCTGTTTAACTTCTCTGAATCAATGAAATCTCTGAATTAATGTAAATTTTAATGTAGTCTACATCTATGCTGATTAGCCAGAATTTAATAATAGCCACTGAAGTCTAGCATGTTGAATATCATCTCTGATGCTCCAGAGAACTCTAAACTCAGTTAGTTTGATAAGTACATGTAATGGTTTGGCTCTTTCCTTTATTAAAAACTGAGTAACTAAGCATTGGATTATAATTCTACAGATACAAACTTTATAGCAGTTAGATCACTAGGTGTCACTAGAATCACAGTCTTGAATGACTTCGGGGGGAATTCTAGTGTAGTCTGTTAAGGTTCCATACTCTTTCATGTAATCAGTTTTATTATTGTTTGAGAATAAAACTGTGTTTATCTGTTTTGATCAAAAGAACTTTAATTTGTGTATTAATAGCCAAATTCTTGTCTCGATATCAATCTTAGCGTTCACAAATACAGTAGATTGTAGATTGTGTCATATTCCAAGATAACATTAGTCCTGCTGTTCTCAAGTCAATCTTTGAATGTGAAAAGACAGGAAAAAGTAGGGGTAAGGTATCTGCTAGATTTTTTTGGTTTTGTAATTAAAAAAAGTTTGCATGAATATAGATTGCTCCTCAGTGAGCGGCTGTTTTTAGTTTAGCATTGCATGTACAGAGAGAAGGCGGAAAACAGACCAATGGGTAAGATGTAAAAGCCAGGATCAAATGAAGCCTCCTTCTTCATTTGCCTGAATAGAAAAAAATTCCTCCCCCGCCATGAAATTCTGTAGATTGTAGTTGGGAGTTTGCTGTCATCACAGTGATCACGTTAAGGTTAAGTTTGCTAGCTAGTGAACAATGAAAGCCTACAGTCCTCACAGAAGTCAGGGCAAGGTTTGATGTTCATGAGAATCTGGCCAGAAGATTTTTGCAGAACAGCAATTTAGAGGCCATCATTAGGACAAAAAATTGTTTCATGTCCTATATTTGGTGTGTAATATAGAGATTTTTTTTTTTTTAGCATTATAGTAGTTACACTAAAGATACATACTTAGGAAGTGTTGGTGTTTCATTATTACAGGGCTCAGACAGCTCTTTTTGCAATAAAAGTTCTCATTCTAAAAAAACGCAACAAAAAAACAAAACCCACAAAACCTGCTCTAATTTATTATACAGGTGTCGAGAAACTGGATTACATGTTGATGAATCCTTATTTCCTGCAGTAGACACTAGTGAAGGATTACCACTACTGATAAAAAAAGTGAGTATGTGATTTTATTTAATTATTATGTTTTTTAAAATAGCCCTAGGGTATTAAACTTTAAAGTTTGAACTTGACTTCCTGACCTCAGGCATTTGAACTGTTTATTTTCAGAACTTTCTATAAACTCTACCTATTCATCTGAGTAGGTTTTTAAAGGTAGGCTATGGCTGTGATGGTGTGGCATCTTATCTGAAGAAAGGATAATAAAAGTAAAGTTTTTATACTGCTGAATGAAGAGTTGAAGATTTAAATTAAAATGACATGATGATTAACGAATTAAAAAACGACAGTTATGTGACTTATGTTTCACTGAGTTGCGATAAACCCTAAAATCCTGGTATTTAAAAAAAAAATCTTTCAAGCTTGAGCTTTGCTACAAACAAAAAAGAAAAGATGGTGACTTAGTCTCCTTTTTACTAAAATCCAACCTAGAAAAATCTTTCTTAAGTTCTTTCTTATTTCATATTAAGTTCCCTTTGGTAAATGTTAACTTCTACAATTATCTGTGACTCTCAAGGAGGTGATAATAAGTAATAGAGAGTTAAACACTGATAATAAATACTGTGCTAAAGTGATAGGCAAATAGAAAGTGTGGTTACTTCTGACAGTTTTATACCATACAATTAATAGTTTTGTGTGTCTTGTAGCACAAATGTATGCAGCCAAAAGACTTTGTTGAAAAAACTCCAGAAAATGATAGAAAGCTGCAGAGAAGACTGGACCAGATGGCTAAAGAATTAGCTGTTCAAAAGATAGCAATTAATGCTGGTAAGAACTACTTTGGCCTAAGATTCAAATATCTTATTTCTTTAAAGCATTTGATGGGGTTTGTGTTTTTTGACTTATGTATCTCACCATAAGAAATAAAGTTGACTTACTTTTTACAGAGTTCCTTGCAAGTTTGTGCTACTAAGGCATCTGTAGTGATGTCAGGTAGAAGGAACCTAATTTTTTCAAGTTTTTTTTGGAAAAAAAAAAAAGAAACTTCATCATTATGACGTGTAAATATTCATGTACAAATGCAATTTCTTTTTGTAGAAACTGATGTACCAGTTTTACTATTTGAAGATAATGGTTCGCTTGTATACAGCCCTGTTAATAAGATAAAAGATCAATGTAGTGCAATGGAAAGAAGAATAAAGGAGATGAAGGAAAAAAGAGAAAACATTTCTCCTACTGGTAAGAAGTTAAATTTTACTTATCCATGAACATGCACAAATGGCTGAATTTTTGGCGCATGTGTCTTGCTCTGGCCTTCAGAATTTTTTTTCATATCTTACTTGATTGCATGTCCTCCCTTCTTCCCAGATTTCGAGTAGGTGTGAATGCTTTAGCTTTTAGTTTGTTTCTGTTGACGAGCACAAGAAGTCATGGAAGACAATCATCGCCAAAAAAGAGTTTTTTAATCACTAGACTGCTCAAGAAGATTAATGTTTAAGCTGGACTTTTTAAATTGTAAATTGATATTATCACAACTTGGTTAAACTTTACAGTGAGACTCTAAATCTTATTTCCTGTTAAATTTTAATGCGAATGCTGTACTTGACAAAGATTGTAATGTTGTTCCTCCCAGGCCAACTGTTTAAAAAGGAGTCCAAAACTGATTAGAGGTTTCTCCAGGTACTGAAGAACAGGATTTAAAAAAACAAATGAATTTGAATTACCTAATTGAATAAATCTAGTTGACTTCAAAATGCAGATCCTGATGAATTAAATCTAGATTGCAGTTTTCAAATTATTTTTTAGCGTTTGCATTACCTTACTGTGAATGTATTGAGGTCTACGTCATTAGGTTTTGTCAGTTATTATAAACACTGTTGAAATGTGGAACATCTTTTGCAGAGGAGGGCGGAGCGGGGGGGGAATCTGTAGTATCTGAAGTTTTAAGAAGTCTGTGTCAACTAGACTGTCAGTTTATAATTTTAACAATATTTGTGGGAGGAAGGTGAAGAACCAGTGATACATGGGTGAAAAATTACATCTCATTTATTTTAACATGGCTTGTATTTGTTTTCTCTTCAAATTTTAAGGTCGTACCTTCAGATGTTTTGAAAAGCATTTCTGTTACATTAATGCTTTGCTGCTAATTGCAGTATTTGATAGATTCTTTAGTAAAATGCCTCAACCAGCTTAGAAATGTCTGTTACTATTTTCTAAATTGTTTGCCATCATTCTTTAGTTTCAGAAAAAATGTGCTGCTGAGTTATCTAGAAAAAATTGCTTAAAATTGTGGAATATCTAATAACTTTTTTATTAGTATATAAATTTGAGATACTGTTGAGCAATTTGTAACTATTTATATGGTTATAGTTCGTTGGCAAAGCAATGACTTGTCTCTTAGAATTGAGCTGTTCTGAAATATGAGTAGACGGTGTGGAAATCTGTATGTTTACAAATAGGGCTAACTAGTTTATTATTTACAAATTCCTAGCTTCACAAATGTCTCAGATACCTTCAAGTAGTTTTCCAAGAGACTGCTCGCTGTCTACTTCAACCTTAACTAATTCAGAAGCTGCATTGTTACCAGGTAAGTAACACAACTTCATCTAGTACAGAAATTAAAAATAATACGTGGCCTGTATATCTTATTTTGGAAAGTGCAGTATACTGAAATGGGAACTGTATATATTTGCTCTATCATTTATATTTAAAGCCAAATTATTTTAGTATTTCTTAACTGGAAAAGTATGTAGAAGTAAGAATTCAAGGAAAACAGAGCGTGAGGAATCACTTTGGGTAAATGCTCTGCCTAACCACTGTGTTGATTGCCTCACTTCCTCCTCTTTCCTCACACCATTCCCCATTAATGGCTTCTTGTCCTGGCATGGTGCCAGTCTTCTCTGCTCTTGCAGTGCTCTTGTATAGAATACAGAGTGCACACTAACCAGTGTGATGTGAGAAGTAAAAAAAGAGAACTGAATGAAAGAGAGGGACCTCGGAGAACTGAAATGTCTACCAAATTGTCTATCAAAAACTTGAATTTAAAAGGAATACTAATGTGTTCTCCAGTTTTAACTATTGAGAGATTGAAGAAATAACCAGAATAAAAATAAATCAGCTTTTAAAATGTTTTATGGTTGCAGATTAATTCAAATCGTGTGTTATCAAGGTTCTTATTCTCATCAAGTTAGGGGTTTGTTCCCGTGTTTTGGCATAGTAGCAGGACATAAGGGAGAAGATTGTTGTAAAGGCTGTTGAGCTACATCAGTGGGCATCTTAACAGCATTAATCATGTATGCAATGGGTATGTACTCCAGACCTCATGTCTTCTGTCAGCAAAAAAGCTGATGTCAGATGCTGGTGTTTGATCTCAGTAGAAAAGTAAGGAGAAGACAGTCTTTAGAATTAGTAATGAGGGCCACTTGAGTGGTCTGCCTAGTCTCCGTTCTACCTCAATGGTAAGCTATATGTTATGCTGTTTCTAAGTGTTGTATTTTGTTGACATTATGCAGGAATAACATGAGAACAGGGGCAGTATCTTGTAGCCTGAGACAGCTTGGTATGTCTTCATGCAACGTTAGGGAGAAGTAGTAGTTTAATACTGGAAGTAGCATAGCTGTGCCAACATTTTTATTTAGGTAAATTAGTTGTGTGGTGATGAGGTTGAACATTGTGATTTAGAGCTTTACCTTGAGTACGTCCTTCCAGCATTACAACTGCACAATGTAGTTTTACATTAAGAATAGAACTCCATGTCCCATGACAATATTCAGTGTAGCTTCTATATCTGATGCTTTGTGACAGCGGCCGTTTTGTTTGTGCTTGCGAGATACATGAGAGTATGTTGGTTAATAATGGTTTAAAAAGTTCAAGAATCCAGTTTAATTTAAGAAAGGTAAGACTTTTTCAATTATCAATATGGGAGTCTGATCATGTCATGTGAACCGTCTCCTTCCATCTCCATATATTTCATTTTTCTGAATTTAGCTAGCTACAGGAGCACTTACAGAAGTATTGCTGAAACTTTGTACTCAATGTGTATTTAAACAAAAGCATCTATTGCAATAATCAGATTGTAGAACAACTGGATTTTAAAAAAATGTATTCTGAATAATCAAAGATACTAGCCTGTTTCAGAGGAATTCACATCTCACAAAATAATTTTGTAGGAATAGCTACAAGAAATTGTATTTTTTTCACATTCTAATTATTTTTAATACGTTGTGTTGAGGTATGTAGTATGATGCTATGATGTTGTATTTAATTTCATCTTAACTACAAGGTGGTGGTAATGATGATCACTGAGTTTCCAGTATTACTATAGCTAGCTTTATCAGTGTAAAATCTTGCTGTTTTTCTCTAAAAATGCAAGAGTGAAAGGGAGTTCCTTTGCTGCTTTTTTTTCAAGAACACAGGACAGGACTTATGGATAATTATTACCACATAAGAAGATATGATAACTACAGCTATTGTAGCTTGTCAACATACAATGTGTTTTGTTTCTAATCCATTTTCTGTTTAGGTTTTTGATGACTTGCCATATGATATCTAGAGAAGTGGCTAAATCCTGGTTTTCTTCTTTCAGTAATTTCAGATGTGTTTTACTAAGAAATTTGGTACTTTCTGTTCTGTTAAATACATTTGTGTTGCCACTTTTCATATTTTGCAGAAGAACAAATGGAAGACTGCTTGAACTCAAGTTACGATTGTCTTTGGGGAACTGATAAATCAGAGAGGCAGAAAACAGAGATAGTAAAACACGCCTGTGATACTTGGACTGATATTAATGTATCCATGAGTGCATCAGTGAATTCTCCTTCACGTAGCTATGAGCTGAAGAGCTTAACACCAAAACAACACAGCAGAAGAAGCTTAAGAAAGAAACAGATTTTGCAGCACACTTTGGATGACAAATTGTCTTTAGAAAAGAAACATCTAAAAAAGTTTCCAAAGAAAAATCAGAAGGATGAAAATAGCATGACTGCTTCAGTTGCAAACCAAAATTCTCTTCTCCAAATCGAGGACTTGAGTCATATTAGTCCTTCCAAAAAAATAGCCAAGTTAAAGACCATTGCTGCTTTGATCAGCAATCTTTCTAATTCACCTATTAACAGCGAAGACTTAAATACGTGTTCATTGGATAGAAGCTTCCCTGTTGACAGAAATAATTGTACCCTTGAAGACAAGAAGAGGAAGAAAATACAAACACTATCTACTTTGAAACTGACTTCCTCAGAACTGGGTGCATCAGGGGCTAAAGAGTTATTGCAAGCAGTTACTACATACAGCAAGTCTCTTTGCACTGATGACGCTTCTTATGAAGACTTTTTTTCATCATCTAATTTGAATGAAAATGAGGTACAGGTAGGAGTACCAAAAGAATCACAGAATCCTCCTGAAGTTTGTTGCAAAGACTCTTTTACAAGCATGGACTCACTTGACGTGAGTTTCTGTAAGTCACATACTACTTCCGAGAAAAGTAGGAAAACGTCTATTCCAGCAAATGATGTTTCAGTAAAGAAAAACTTCAAACCAACTGAACATCCTGGAAGTGTGCCATTAAATTATTTGTCAGATGGTGAAAAAGCTGACATTGCAGAAGCTCTAGATTCTGATGGTGTGAGTAGGCTGTCTCAGCATGCTCATGAAAAATCCTACAGAACCAATGTGAATTACTGTACTCACACTACTGGTAAGTTGCTACATAGAGCTGGAAAATGAAAAGATATCATACTGCATTAGATATACTCATGCAACTAAATTGCAAAATGAACTGCCATTCCCAAGGGAAAAATATTTCAGAATTACACCAAAAGAAGAAAATGCTGCAGTACTGACTTTATTTTTGAGTAAAATAAATGAGTGTATAGGATCCAAAAGAACACCTATTTATTTTCCCATACACTACAAACACAAAGAAATTACGGCAAGAGATAAGGAAACTGCTCACAAAATGCAACAAAAGCATGTGAGCCGCCTTTTCCCCTAATACTTGATATTCTGTAATGTCCTGTTGCTATTCAAAATCTGTTTAAGAAACAAAGATCTTTGTTTTAAATGTTATGGTGCTCTTGTAAATTGTTTACAAATAACTTCTCATCATAAGGTCCCTTGTTCAAATCATTTTTATTTTACAAGTTAAAATTGCTACTTTAGATTAATTGCAGTTAAGGCCATAAAATCTCTAGTGGAAGAAAAAAAATTGAATTAGCAATTTCTAACTTGTGCTATGATGAAGATTGAATAAGACATTTGAGGGTATGTGCAAGAGTTGCAATGCCAGTGTCTTCTTAACCATGGCTTTTTAATATGGAACTGATCTTAGTTTTAGTAATAATTTTAAGAGCATTTTTTATTTGAGCATTTTCAAGTTGGTTTAGCCTAAGTTATTTCAATGTAAATGTATACTAGAATGTTGAATCTCAGGAACTTCCCTGAAAGCTTCTAACTTGCACTGGGGTAATCACTTTCAGATTTTTATATTTTGAGCTCTGTTTGTCAAGCTTTGCATAGGGTTAAATATTTGTAATTATAACTGTGTATTTTAGTCATTTGTTTTCCCTAGAAAATTCTGCAGCAGTGCATCAATGAATTATATAAAATTAATTATTAACTTAAAGGGCTCAACAAACTTGGTATCAGACTTATGAAATCAGCCAGTGAAAATGTTAAATGGTGACTGTGCTTATATCTGTGGGTACTAAGTTGCTGAACTGTGAGCTGCTATTTTGGGTTCACTACCTCTGTATTTTAATACCTGGAATGCATCATTATAACATAGTTTAAAAAAAACATGATGCAGGTGTGTGTTGTACAAGTATAAATGTATACCCATAAATGTATGAACCCACTGTATGTGTGTTTTGCTGTGTGGCAATGTACTAGAAGATGATCCTTAAATTATGTATTCCTTAATGTCAAAGAACAGGCCGTTTTTCAGTAAACAATCATGAAAACAAATGAGGAAGGAGAAAAATGTTCTAGCATGTTATACTTTTATTTTCTCTCTGGACCTCTTGTTTAAGATAACAGATTTTGGAGGAGAGGAAAAAGGAATAGTGTTCAGCAAACAAAAGTTATCAAATGTGTATTTTTTTTAATTTTTGTTAGGAACTTCTGTAAGTCTCAACTTGTGTTTTTAGTGATTTTAATATTTGTAACTTATCAGTGATGACCATTTTCCCAACTATAATGTATTCAGCTTCGTGCATCTGTTATGTAGTCAAGTAGAACCTCGAGTTCGACAGCTCAGATGAGCTCATTTAAAAATGGAAGGAATCAATAATGAAAGATGGGTTGTATTTTCCCTAATGCAAGTTCTGTGGAAGAAAATGAAAAATTTCTTTTAAACTTACTACTGTGACACTGTATGATGGAATAATTGATTTTTATTAAATATAGGTTTAATATTTCCTTTTTTTCCTTTTTTTTCTTGAATGTAAGTTATTTCTTGTCCTTGTTAATTAGTAAATAAATAGTAAGTTGCTTTGTTTTTCTGTATGTTGTATGTGATTTGAAAACTGGTAAATATAGTATATTATTTTTAAAAGTGAAAGAATTCTTTTCACTTGGAACATTTTATTTTAAAGTAGAAGTGTAATATGGAGGCTAATCTGAAACTTAAAGTCCTAATGCTTATGTTGTAGCAAATTTCAGGTTCCTTTGTAGGGTACGCTCAAGGCTGTCCAGTTGTTTTGCTGAATAGCACAGGCATAAACACAGCTACTTATTTTCATCTTGCTCCAAGTCATAAATCAAGTAGAGAACCGTCACAGATACAAGAGTTGAAATTAATTAGGCATTACAAGAATATTAAAAGATGCTTTCCTATTCAGATTCACCTTTTCTTTCTCAGCTAAAATTTCTATCCTTCTGATTAAACCAGCCATACCTGAAAAATTGCAGTGCTCTATAGTCAATAAGTGCTGTGTAACTGGGTTTTGTGTGTCAGTGCCTAAATTTTTAGCAAAGTGAGGAAAATGGTGGCTTTTCTCTATCATGAATATAAGTTTATGGAAATGCAATAATACTGTCTTTTGTGAAAGTTAATCATCTATGTTACTAGGAGAGTCTAAGAACTTCTTTGTCATTCATGTTGTAAATTGCTTTACTTTGAAATCCTGTCCATCTGCTTATAACTTTTTCAATAGGGCTGATGGTAGGGTAAGTTGGCACTTGAACCAGATGATTTAGAATGCCATTACTTGCTCAGATTTGGTTAATTCCTATGACTTTTCATCTGAAAGCTACAACAATAAATAATATTGGGCAAGGAGTGCAAGAGTATGCTCTTTTAAGCTTCTATCATCCTAAAATAATTTAGAAATTTGAACCCAGACTTAGCATTATTTCCAGTCTTGAAAATAAACTTAAGGCTTAGCTGGGTGAATTTTAGATAATTATGGCAAATGTGGGAGGCAAATATTATCTTAGCCAAAAGACATAAACTAAGACCCATTATAGGGTAATTAATGTAGTTCAATGTTAAGATGGGAAATCTAGAATATCATTCTGTTATTTGGTGCAAAAATGATTAAATTTAATTTAGATGAATGAGTTTTACCTGAGGTTCTGGGTGCTTAATACTGCTAAAATATTGTGTATGTCTTTAAAAACACACATATGAAAACTTCCTTAGATTTGATGTGCCTTTTTTTCTTTGGTTTTGGAAGAAGACAAGCTCACTAAAAATATTGTATGATGTCTTCTATTGATATTTTAATATGTCCTTCTAAAAAAAAAAACAAATGAGCAATAAAGACAATGACTATTTCTTCCTTGATACTTTGTTGTGTTTATCTTCACAAAAGCTTAATTGTAACTAATTATTAAAACAAAAAAGGACAAATATTGCTCAATAGAGGAACAGGTTGAGTATTATTTTGACCTAGTCAAGTTTACCAAGCCTGATGACACTTGTCCTAGAGCACATAACAAACTAAACTATTAACAGGTTCTCTGAGAACCTGGTGGGCACATAAGCTTTCAGAAGACTTGAAGAAATTGTGTTCTGAATAGCAAAAACTTGATGTTTTCCCATGCTGGAATAGTAACTACAATAATAATAACACAAGTTATTAAATATTCTGTGCATACTTACCTGAAGGATTACCAATGATAACAAATTCAGACGTACTTCCTTCATAGTTAGGGTAAATAACTGTGGATAAGTACAAAATAGTAGATACAATATAGCTTAATTTCAGTGACACTTCATTATGATATTCTTAAAGTAGAACACTATACTATATATCAATTTTTTATTAGATAGGCATGATTGAACAAAAACTATCTCATTGTGCCTAATCATTCCTTTGCTTTAACTTGAAGGAATTATCAAATGGAATTTTGAAGAGAATATTCTGGTTCAAAACTTTGCACTGGTGATAAATGATCATGAATGAGTAGAAGCTTAAATTGCAAATTACAGTCACTCTGATTTGTTATAATACTTCAGAGGGCTATCAGAGTTGTTGATTTTGATACCAGTCATTGAGCAATGTTTTAGAAGATAATTCAGGGGATCTAATGGACCACAGCTGCTTATTTGAATTACATTTAGGGATAACTAACAGTGGATGGAATTGCTTCAACAAGTTCTGTCAACCTTATTGGAAATACCCTAGGAAAAGCTACCAAAGATGAAAACTCTTTCCTTGTGACTGAGCAACTGCTTTAAAAAGAAGCAATCAGGGAAAAACAGACAATAGACAGTGAAGCTGGAGACCTACAGGATGGGAAAGCTGGAAAGTGCTTGAGATAGTTCCTACTACTCTCCTGACTATCAGGAGCTGGATTGCAAAGAATAATCCTTATTTATGTAATGCTTCAGATCCCCAAGCTGAGAGGAGGTGATGGATCTCATCCCCTGTTCCTGCTTTCCTGTAAATGAGTGAACCATAACTGGAAAGAGGTCCAAGCATACAGGTCTTGTGACTTTAATCCCAAGTGGGGCAAGAGGTTCTCACTGCTCTCTGCCCCCAACCCTCAAAAAAACCCCTAAACCGGTGGACTGTCCTTTCACAGTGACTGAAATGCCTTGCTGGAAATTCAGATGCATGCTTTGCTTTACCCCCATCTGCGTGGGGTAAAGCAATGGAGCAGATGATCTCCTGACATCCTTTGCAGTCCTGTTGTAGTGGTTTTATTTTTTTTTTAAGATTCAAAATACAGGTTTAAAAAAATCTGTTTTCCAAGTAAAAGGAGTTAAATTTAATTTCTTAGCATTTTTTATTCTGTGGCAAGATCTTTTCTCCTCTTCTACTTGGCATCAGTCTTGCTCAGTGATTGAAGATGATGGACCTTAGTGCAATACTAAATAAAATTAACATAGTTAAGTGATTAATTCTCCCTTTGTTAAAGGATGCTTTTATTTAAATAGGGTTTAAATTAATGATTGTATCTGAAAGCCAGGTTTACTTGTACTACACAAAACTCACTAATCTTGTGTAAATTCATGTGAAACTTGCAACTTCAGTGTGAAGAAGTGATGACATTTGGGCTAGTTTAAAGGTTGTAATTTTAAAATAAGTGATCAGAAATGGAAAATGCCATTTTTTGTTTGTAATTTGTTGTTCTCTCAGCTCAAGGATTAAGAGTTTAAGTAGCTGACAATGATTTTTAGTTATATATGCAGTCAGACTAGTAAATATGGATAGTAACCCTCAGTATTTTCCAAAAGTAATCAGAAGAAGCTTAGTTGGGAGGAGCTGAATTTAGGGCACTTTAATCACTAATTATTAAACTTTCTTTAACTGGTCTCCTGCATTTCTTTGAAATAAAAAAATTAATGAATGTCCTAAAGTAGACTCCACTGAATTAAATTTGAGAAAAGCTATCTACTTAAATCTTCAGTAATTAAAACTTCGTTGATCAAAAGATAGATCAAAGTTTTTCATCTTATGCAAGCAAGCTAATTTCTCAAATGATTCAGAAGTTTATTATTTAGTGCTTATAAAAGTCATCCTGACAGCATTGAAGAATTAAATATATGTTAATTCACCAAAAAGGTGATGAAAAATACTGCTTTTTGGCAGCCATATTGGAGTACATTCTTATGGTTGGTGCCTTTTTATAAATAATAGGACTGATATGCCTGCATGCACATGCAATTCTTGCCTGCTAACAGCTTGCTAGATTTGCTTGCAAAGTGTTTGAAAATGTGTTTCAGACCTTCAGACCATTTCAGATAAACACAGTACCAAAAGCATTGGTATTTCAGTAAAAAAGGAAAAATCTAGCCACCACTGCTTCAAACTCTCAAATACCTCTATATTCAGAAAAAATTGCAAATTTTGTAATAAATAGAAAGCAATTTAGCAGATTATCTACTTGTGATTAAGGTACAGTTTTCAAGATATCAGGAGTTTTACAACTAGTTTATTTACAAGGTCAGATACTGAAAAATGAGGTCAGATGCTTGAATGTCATTCGTTTTTCCATAACTGAAATATAATGGGAAAATAACTGGTACAAATTATTAATTTGGGTATATTAACTGTACATAGCACTGCATGCTACAGTAAAATAATTGGTTGCAGTTTCATTTCACAAGATTGCATTTTTTCATTTCAAGTTTCTAAATTTGGTTTCTAGGTGATGAAAATGAAGTTTCAGAGTGTCACGTTACTGATGGCTCTTGCAAAGTTTTTAATGAACAAAAGAATAAGCACAATGGGGGGTTAAGAAAAACTAGAAGACTCCAAAAGGTCAGTTTAACTGGACATATTGTTTGTTAAGCTCTTTCTTTTTCTTGGAGAATCACTGAGTGCCTTTGTACGTACAAAGAAGAAATGCATTTTTTATGCACTATCAATTTAAAAACTTTTCTGAATCTCACTGTCCTGGAAAGGTTATGCGAATGGTATTCAAAGACAATAGGTATAACCATGGAACTCAGCTTTCTGAAAACTTGTGACAGAGTTGTGCCAAGCTGACATCATAAAGGAGGCTGGTAAGCCAGCTCAAACTCCTTGAGTGGAAAAGCTCCTGAAGCGACCTGAAAAGCTGCCTATTCTTTTCAAAGGGGTTACTAAATGGGGTAGAGGTTTTTGTTTCATAGTAGATCATCCCCAGTAGATATTTCTGCAGGATAAAGATATATGCAATATTTTCTTCTAGGTTCGGGTAAAGCTAAATTTCTTAACTTACTATTTGACCTCAATTTGGATGAAGAAAAAAAAAAAAGGGATTGAGTCAACACTGAATCTTTTTTAGATGTTTTCCCTTTTAAAAAATTGTTTTAAGTAAATATAAAACTGATCAGGAAAATAAATCGTTCTTTTTAGCAGCAAGTAGCAAGTCATACAATTAAAATGAGCACTTAAATTGTTTTGAGAATGGGAAGTCCTAAAGCACTAAAAGATGCCTGAGATAATTAATTACATGAAATAAATTAGGTGCTTCATTGGTAGCTATTGATGGATTTTCAAAGAGATTGATCACAGATTTTGATCTTTTACATAAAAGTTCTGAGCAGGTGCAATTACTAGGCTGGTCAATCTTTTAAACATCCTAAAGATGGGATATTAATCTCCATGGACCAGTGGTCTTCTCTGGGTTAAAATTATTATTTGACTTCTTGCCTGCATCTTTCTACATGTTACTTTTCTTATGTATTTGTTCTTTTTCTTTTCCTAAATATATACATACATATTATTTGTATAACAAATAATTGTAGGTATTATATAAAATGTATAAGTCAACTTCACTCCAGATCCATGTCCTATAGAAACATTATAAGTCTGCTTTTTAGGCTAAAGCATCTATTCAGAACAGTTTCATTTCCTGCCACATAAATCTGACTAAAGCTGCTAAATGTATCCACAAACTACAGTCATTCACTCTTCCTAAGGCTATCTGCAGAAATGGTGCTTGGAGGCTTAGCAGATTTGTTGGTAGTGATTCTTTCTCCAGTGTAATTATGTTACAAGGCATTATACGGTAGTGCTAGTTTTGATTTCATTTCACTTAAGAAAAGATTCCAACATACTGAAGAGAAAAAAACCCAAACAATAGGAAGTCCTTTTTCATGTTTTCCGTTTTTCAAACCAGGGGCCAAACATTGGTCTTGCAGTCAAAGATGATGTATTGGGTTCTGCTTGGTGTTTGCTAAGCTTTCTCTTGCAAAGCATGCTTGGTGGGGTGTTTAACAGTAGAAAAAACTAAGTAGTAACTGGAGAAAATTCCTGTTCAGTGTTTTGAGGGGTGGCTTCCTTCAGCCATCCGTCTGAGCCAGGTGGCAGTACAATTTGACTCAAATGTCAGTAACATAGCAGCACATACTTTCTTTCATGTGATCAATGCTTTTTTTTTTTTTTTTTTTTAATAGTTTTAAAGGTTTCCAGATGCAGTTTGGCTATGCAAATTCATATAAAGACAACGGTGGGGTTTTTTATTGAAAGATAAAAAGAACTTCACAAAAAGATTTTATGTGGTTTAACCAGTCTGGCAACCAGACTGTTGCACTGAAGTTTTACTTCATATTTTCCTTGAGCAATTGTCTGTTAATGTATATTAAATGTTTATGAATATGTCTATTAAGATCTATTTTCCATTGTTTGTATGCATACATACATGCAAAATTTATAAAGCCAATGTTGGAGATCCCTAGGAAATTTTTAGTGAAGCAATTTTGAAAGGATATTGTTTTGACCAAAATTACACTGGGTATCTAAATTTTTGTTAAGAATTAAGATGCAAAGCTTCTCTAGAACCAGTCACAATATGTTCTTGAAGCTTTTTAAAAATAACCAAACATTATACAAATTTTAATAAACACTTTTTTCAATGGCTGCAGCTTAAACATTGCAACATTTTGCTAATGTTTGACAAAGTGAAGTGAAAGTGAAGTTAAGTTAGAAAAATTTCGTTTGTTTTCTTTGCCCAAAGCAAAAAGTGTATGAGAGAAATAGCACAAATATTTTTTAAAAAATTGTTTAATTGAATCATAGTATTATGAAGAATGTTATAATATTTATTTAAATCTTAAAAGAACATTTATTTTAAAAATACAAGTGCAAAAGAAATGGCATTTCCTAGCTATTTTAATGGACTCATGTTTCCAGAAATGTGACTATGTGAATCTCCAGACCTTTTATATCTAAAACAAATTTCAAACAACCTTTAAATTATAGTCATTGTAGAGTATATGCAGTTTTGTACTGAATAGTTCCAATATAAGGCTTCAGATCATATTGCTGGTGTTCTGGGAATCTGTTGTAAGTGTAATCTGTTAAATTTGTTACATACCCATAAGTCTCTTAATTTGGGAAGCAATGTAAATTGCAGTTAGTTTTTTCATAGAAAAAAGTTTGAAATCTAATACCTCTTTAAAAACTTTGTAGTCGTTTTCTGAATGTAATTCCTAGACAATGTCTAAACTGAACATTTTTAGAGTTCTTTATTTATAACTCTTTCACTACCAGTGTGTACTACAGTGAACACTATAACTCGCTTGCTATAGTGAAGGCATGTCAGTAGCCATTTGGAGTTCAATATGTTATGGTAAATTTTTAAAAAGCCATACAAAAATATCTGTAGAAAGTATGACCAGATGTGTTAACATTTTTTTTTTCTTCTATGGCTATTTCAATTTGTCATTTGTAGCTTCTTTAATCTAATATAAATTAAGCTGTAGGTTCTGTATTTCTTTGCTGTGCTATTGTGTTATGCATTAGTTTTCTTCAAGACCTCATGTTGTTTGAGTTCCTTGTAATTTGTTTTAGCTGAAGTTAAAAACAAGAATGACTTTGTTCAGGTACTTTTATATCACAATTTTAGACTACAAGTACTTGTATTTTCTTTCTTTATCTATACTATTTATATAGGCGTGCTTACTGTACTCTTAACGTGGAAGACTTCTAATCAAAGTTATCTAAAATTGTACTATCAACTAACAAGAGCCGTGAAGACAGAGTAGTTTATAATGGCACCTGCAGGCATGCTGGGGGAAGAGAAGTAAGATTTTCAGGAATCTTTAATGGCATCAGGAACAAGTTTTTTGTATTTAAAACACCACCACCATCCCTAAAAAAAGCCCAGGAGTTTTACTGTGTTGTACATATTCAAGTGCAGCACATAAAGGTAGATTTATAAAATTAGCCTATAGACTTGAAATTTTTAGTTTTGAGACACAACAACCCATAACTGAGGATAGTTCCAGATTCTTCTCGTGCCGAGTTGGTGAAAGCAAACACTGTGGATTAATGCCCATGAATGTCAGCAGGTGGCTTCCCTGGTCTAGAAATCTAAGTTCATGATACTGGATTGCAGGGATAAAATAAACCCTTTATACATTGTGATACGGTTTTCAATTATTCTATGGAATTGAATACCTAGTTCTTAGCTGCTTTGCATAGGGAGGACAAAGTGAAATAACTTAAAATCATAAAGCCAAAAATAATGTATTCAAACAAATTAGTGGTGTTAATCTGTTGGTATAAGGGTTGAGTCCTCATTTCATGGCTTAATGTCACAAAAATGCTTAGATTTATCACAACGCATGTTACGTATGTCACAAGTGTAAACATTTTGTACTTTAAACAGATCAAAGACTCATTATGAATAACCAATTAACTGTCATTTTTATTCAAATAAAAAGTTGTTTCATATTTTGAGGGATATGAGAGGTGAAAGATAACTTTTAAAGGATCTAACAGTATCACGTCACTAGAAATGCATTTGGAATAAATTTTACACTCCAAAACCCCTTAAAATACTGTTTTCTGAGTGAATAGAAGAAACTCTTCAACCATGTGAGAAAACCAGTTAAGCATCATGAGGGATAATTAAAAGCACATTTTCACAGAGAAGACAGTATGGAATTCTTTCAGTTTTGTTTTTAAACAGATTCATCTTGGCTTGTATTTCTGTAGCTCTTGGATTTGGGTAAAGGTAAAGTTATCAACACTGAAGAGATTTTTGAGAGAAGAAAGTTTTACAAAGAATCTAAACTCATGCTTAGAATTAGAATTCACAATTAGTGTGAAGCAGGCCATTGTTAGATCCTGCTATCAGGATCTAATATTTTTGGAAATATTTTATTCATGGCAAAACAAATTTTAATATCCTGAAAAATTTGTAGCTATAAAACATGAAGTATCTTACCAGAAGTTCAGGAAAGTAACTTTATGTCTATATTTTATATGTGCATTTGTAAACTGTCTTAAACAGATTTTATTGCTTTGGGGGACAACATCTCTTAATGTTTTCCTTCCAATTTTGATTTTGTAGTTGCTTTGAATAGGTACATATTTTAAACACTGATACTTGACTTTAGGAGGTTGTAGTGAGGTGAGTGTTGGTCTCTTCTCCCAAGTAACTAGCAAAAGGACAAGAGGAAATGGCCTGAAGTTGCATCAGGGGAGATTTAGATTAGATATTAGGAAAAATTTCTTCACCAAAAGAGTGGTCAGGCATTGGAACACGTTGCCCAGAGAAGTGGTGGAGTCACCATCCCTGGAGGTATTCAAAAAACATGAAGACGTGGCACTTAGGGACATGGTTTAGTAGACATGGTGGTGTTGGGTTGACAGTTGGACTTGATGATCTTAGAGGTCTTTTCCACCCTTAAGATTCTGTGATTGACACGTTACTGACTTCAAGCTGCAAACCAGTATTAAACTAGTGTGAATCATAGAATCATAGAATGGTTTGGGTTGGAAGGGACCTCAAAGATCATCTAGTTCCAACGCCCCTGCCATGGGCA